TGCAAAGCCATTCTGTTGATTTTCCCCTTGCTTTCAACACTCTACCAACAAATGGCTGCATGTGCGGTAGGAAGGGGGACAGCTGGCAGAACTGCCCTCCACTCAAGGGGCCTGTCAAGTGGAACATCTGGCCCTGGAGCGGATCATGCACTCACACAATATATCGCCCCCTCCATCTCAGACGTGCTGCCACTCGCAGTCCCTTTATGACTATCATTCTCAATTTGAGTCGTTGACTTCAGCGATTCTTTCCCACGACAGCTTGGCAAGTCATCGGGGCAGCAACGTGTAATATATATGCAAGATAAAGCCATATGCGTCAAGAAGTTATGATTTTGCTGTTACAGGCGACGCATCCGTCATTAACTTCTGACACATCGCACCAATACACAACGGGAAGTCACAGCTGGAGATGCAATGGCGCCATAGGTGCAATCTTTTGCTCACGGACAAGACGGAACCAAACCTCATTTGCACTTATATGTGTCTGAGTTTGAATGAAAATTATTCAGAGGTAATGCATTTAATATCATAAGCAGAGGCATGAATTCTGTTGGTATTACATTTTTACTCCGAAAGCACTTAAAGGTTATTATGTTTTTGTTTTTTTAATGATTTGGAGGTGCTCTAGACTTGCGCTGTTATGTCAGACATGTAATGACTGTGAGGCTTTTAAAACAATTAAGAAACCTAAGTGTGCCGTTCCTTTCTGCATTTTGATGAGCTCGCTGATATTTGCCGTGATGTATTTCAGATTAAGACGTAAAAGGGAAATGCAGCGGAACACTTTCATAAAGAGGAAGTAGTGTCAACGGTTTACTCAAAAGCAGTGCCTGCCTGCAGAATATTCTTTAATAAATTAGCTGCCAGCTTCAAACAACCCAGCTAATGTGAATCTTAACCTGATAAGCATTCAAATGAGGACAGAACCCCAACAACAGAAAAAAGAAGAAGAAAGGACTTATTGAGATGCATACAATGTATTTCTCGAAGCCTCAGGATTTTATTTTAGGATTTCGAGCGCCAATGGTTGCCTTGGTTAAAATGTTCTATTAAGTAAAAGGGTGGAATCTTTTCAAATGGAGGGTGTTCTACCTGTAATGGATAGTCTTCCAGTGACCTAGAGTACACAGACTGAATTATCAATAACCAGTCAATTATTTTGCAGAGCAAAATGGATAACATCCAGACCTTTCCCAACATTTATGTACATTGCAATGTGATATGTGTATTTTTGTCTGTATGGCTGATGTGAATATGTTATTAAAACATTTTAAGGTACCAAAAACACAACACATGTCTGGGAATACAGAATATGAAGCAATGTTTTGCAAGTCAGGAACTGCAGGTCCCAACCCCAAAGTAGTACTAATTAAATATTAAATGCACTTTAAATGTCACATTTTGAAATCATAACTCAAATAAATACAACGCTCTACCTTCTCTGAGTTCAAAATCCATATAATTAGAATTAATGATCGATTGCAAAATTAAGACACCTCACACTTAAATAATACAATTATTTGTATATTTGGTCAAGTTATGGGAAAGCACTAGGTCATGTCACGATTTATTAGTATTTATTATATTAGTATTACATTAGTAGTAAATTTAATTACTAGGTGAAATGTACACTATATATATATCTGTGCATGTAAAGCCCTGGACCACAAAACCAGTCATAAGGGTCTTTTTTTCTTTCTTTTTTTTTCTCGAAATTGAGATTTATACATCACCTGAAAGCTGAACAAATAAGCTTTCCATTGATGCATGGTTTGATGTATAGGACAAAACTTGGCTGAGATACAACTATTTGAAAATCTGGAATCTGAGGGTGCAAAAAAATTTAAACATTGAGAAAATCACCTTTAAAGTTGTCCAATTGATGTTCTTAGCAATGCATATTACTAATCAAAAATTACGTTTTGATATATTTACAGTACGAAATTTACAAAATATCTTCATGGAAAATGACTTTAACTTAATATCCTAATGATTTTTGGCATAAAAGAAAAATCAATAATTTTGACCCATACAGTGTAGTATTGGCTATTGCTACAAACAAACCCATGCTACTTATGACTGGTTTTGTGGTCCAGGGTCACATATCAGTTGTGGTATTTATTCATTCATTCATTCATTCAATCAATTCATTCAAATAAACTGAATCATTTAGGAATGAAAGAAATGACTGTCTGAGTGAATAATTGAATCATTCATTCAATCGTTTCACTGATTCAAAACAAATGAACTGATCATCTTTATGAATGAGTTATCAGTTCATTCACTCAACCGATTGGTTAATTAAAATTAATTAATTAATTTAAAATAATTTATTATTTCATCCATTAATTCATTCTAATATTACTTTAACTCTGCTTGAAACTTTTTTTTTTTTTTTTAGAAGACCACAATAACCCTTAGCAATGAACTTGACGACACCTTGAGAGACACCAATACTTAATTAATTTAGGGGAAATTCACTCTATTTGGTTATAAAATTCAAAGTGTGTAACCCCAGAAAAAAAACATTCTAATCTCATCTCAGCTTTGATACTCTTATCATCGCAAAGGAGAATCACCAACAAGGGCACATCCCTTTGAGACGTGCTGGTTACAGCGATAAGACACACATGATGAAGAGTTCATGCAGCGTGTCACGTAGAGAAGAGCGCAGCCTTCATCCGCTGCATTAAAACTGCAACAAGAAGCCTCTTACTAGACAGTAGCAAGACAGATAAAAGAATGGTGCTTCTTCCATGTGTCAGCATGCAAGGTGGAAGTTCAAAGACCTGTCGCACAATCATGCATACGATCATAATGTAAGCGAAAATGAAATGCCTGCGCTCAATACGTGATTCATCCGCACCTGCCCTATTGATATTCCGTAAGTGTGAAATGGAAATAGCGCTGCTGAGCTTCGTTCCCCCAAATTTGACTGTAAGATGAGAACGCTCAAAAGCTCAATTTGATCACGTACATCCCAGTCCTTCTTTTCAGCCCGACACCATGCACGTGCAAAAATTGCTTGCCTGTACACACAGAGCTGTAATATCTGAAATAGAGTATTTTAAGCAGTCAGGCACTGTGCTAGAATGATCCCAAGAGTCAACAGTATAGAGCCACTCTCACGGCGAGTGTCGGGAGGTTTAAAGTTTATCAGTCCAGCAATTGGTTCTGAGCTTCTTAGATAAGGAGGCGATTAGAAAAGCGAGCAGGTAGAAGTCCTGTCTGCTCCAAAGTCAAACCTGAATGCAAGTCGCTGTAACGTTCTAGACTCATATTTAGCAGATTTCTGATTCGATTACAATGACAAAGGCAGCGAGACCAGACATACATCACACACTCAGCAGATTCAGTAACTTGTGAGCGGTCTGGATTGGGTTTTTAATTTAACTAGCAAATGAGGAGTTATGCTCACAGCATGAAACCCAGAGAAGATATGTGGGTTGAATAAACCCATTTCTGCCAGTGGGGCACTTGGGAAACTGCAGGGAGACAGGTGGGCAGACTCTAATGCAGAGTACAATCAAAGATCAAATGACACAATGTGGCGCTAAAGAGAGGGAAAACGCTACACTAGAAATTAGATGGCATTTTGATACGTTACTTTTCAGCCCCCCTTCTCAACCCCCACCCCCCGCATCATTTTCCCAACCACTGCACCAAAACTTATTCCGAGCATGTTTACCTACACGAGAGAAGTCTTTTTCGTTCAATCATGGAGAGGGGTTGCTCAGGCTGTACTGCTTGGCAGTCTTGTCTTTCCCCGGAGAGCGAAATTCAATAGAGATAATCATTACTGTGAGGAC